AATTAATCTAGAATCATTTGCGGTTATTTCTCAGAGAGACTTGCAGAATGTTTTAGCAAGACTCTCTTAAAGCTCTCTATTTTTGTGTTTGTGAGATTGTACACATACTTGTGGATTGAATATATTTGAAACATATATTTTTTATTGAACTCAAACATTTATTTATACCTCGGTTTACGGACAACACTCTTTTCCAAATTTATCTAGCTTTATTTTTTAATTCTGAAATAACTAATTTTTGAAAGGAAATTTAGCTTGAAAGGATATTGCTGCATTTCACACAGTTTTGAATGAATAAAAGTTCATCTTACGCAGGAATTTTATGGCATACTTTGTTAAGATGCGTATATTTATAATAATTCGAGGAAAGAAAGGTCTGAAATAATATAATTGTATTTGTCATTTTCTCAATTATTTCATCATGTGAAGTTGGAAATGGTGGCCTTCCTTCGCAAATCTATTGTCGCAGCACTTTGAAGAATTTTAAGCCTGTTTCACATAAAATTTCTCTCCTACGTCCTCATACGATATCATAGAACATCATCATCAAAGAACCACGATATCATCATAACAAATGTACAGTATAATTATCTAATTAAATATCATCATTCAGTTATTATATCTCTTGAAATGAGATTCTTGGTTATTTTAGGATGTAATAGGACTGAAATTGTGTGATGTCTTACATCAGGAAAATATTCGTTCTATTTTTTTTTTTTCAGTGTCTTACACCACAAACGACCTCAAGTTCGAGTGGGAGAAGGAAACGCCCCTGGTGGTGGACAGTGGGATTGAATTGCCCCAATTCGACATAATAGGCAATGTGACCGGGGATTGCACCCAAACCTACTCGACTGGTGAGTTTCCCATCAATGGGCACCTTTTTCACGATTCGCCCCGTGCCATAATTAAAGCGTTGAGAAGGGAAATCATTTGTCGCAGGCAACTTCACTTGTCTGGAGGTGATCTTCACGTTCCGACGACGACTGGGATACTTCTTGTTCCACACTTACGTCCCGACGTGTTTGATAGTCATCATGTCCTGGATTTCCTTCTGGATCAAACCCGAAGCAGTGCCAGCGAGGGTCACCCTGGGAGTCACTTCCTTACTCACTTTATCCACTCAGCATGCCAACAGTCAAAAGTCCCTGCCGCCGGTTTCCTACATCAAGGTACTGTACTCTACTGGAATTAAAACTCTTTATGTAGGAGGTTCTCATTGCAATGAACTTTCAAGGATCTGAAAAAGAATCAAATATGAATGAAAAAAATAAATTCTTGTAATGAGATTCATGATGACTTTTCTTTGAGCACATGTAGGAATTAAATTTGTGGGAAATATACAGGTAAAAGATGCTTTGAAGTACAGCTAGTACTTCATCCACAACAGATTTCGGAAGAATATTGTTCATTTCCAGCTGCTTTTGATGAAAGATTATGAATGAATGGAGAAAATTGAAAATGTGAAATGCAATTCCAAAATATATACGTACATATATATATATATATATATATGAAGTCAGACCCCCCCCTCATACCAACACCTCTAAATGTGGACGACTTGACATAGGCACACTTATCTTTCCATAAAAAAAGGCCCATCATTAGGACACTGACCCAACATAGGGACATTTTGTGATAGGATTGCAAATAAGTTTCAGGTCAAATTACAAGAAACAGATATTTCCAACCCTAAAATTAATGTAAGAAAAGTTCTTGGGCATTTTCCTCACAAATTTACCATCCATTTACCTAATTAAACAAATACCATCCAGCATAGAGGGACTTCCTTCTCTCTTTTCCACTTGAATGCTATTTTTAAAGAGAATGCCAAAATTTATGTGTATTGTACAGAGGTATCAGTATTCAATTCCCCAAATGTCCATATTGTATTGAAATATATTGATTGAATCAGGGAGACAATTTTTATTTTCTGGAATTATATTGAGCATTTTGTCCATAAAACGCCAAGAGAAAATTATAGAATTTAATTTTAAGGGAAAATTAGACTCCACTTAGGGACATTTTGGCTTAATAGGGACACTCTTGATGCACCAATTACTTCTGCATCTTGGGGTCTCACTGTATACGGATCTTATTGATGTATGATTTGAAACAAGCAGAATATACTTGTGTAAGAAGGCCATTTATGCATTCACAACTGCATGTTCCTTTACTTACACCCAGCAAATAATTTGGGCGTAAACCGCTAGGGTTTACGCACTAAAAACGGCCTTATAGACGTCCAGGGTGGACGTCTATCCAGGCGGCCACTGAGACCATAAAAAGTGGGTATTATACCCGCCTGGAGAGACGGGGACAGGATTGCCACTTCCCCTGACGGTTATCCTGGCGGTTTGGG